CTCCCCCTTTAAAAAAAAAAATACCTTAAAGTCAGTATTGACTCTTGGCGACCACTCCCTGCAGTTTTTTTGGCAAGATTTTATGGAAATGGTTTGCCATTGCCTCCTTCCTAGGGCTGAGAGTGACTGGCCCAAGAGCACCCAGCTCCTTTATGTCTCCTGATTTCTAACCTGATGCCTTAAACACTGCACCAGACTGACTATCTTTGACCCTAACAAGCAAATACTGAGAACCACAAAGTATTGCTGGAGAAGATAAAGGCCTGTCTAGTCCAGTTTTTTCGGTAGCCAATTAGATATCTATGAGGATCTCATGTTTCAGAAGGGCATGGGTGTAATAACTTCCTCCATGCTATTTCATACAAGTAGTACTGAATGCTATCTTTGATCCAAAAGGCAGAATACAGATATTATATAATTTATTATTCTTTCACATAATCCAGGTTGATAATAATCAGCATAATATAAGGAAGCTAATCCCACACTTAAGATATGCATTTGAAGAAATATTTTTGTGTTTGTTCAGTGAATCTTCCATTTCTTTGATTTGGATTATTCTATGTACTAGGTATGAGAAAATAAAATAATTTCCTTTCTGTAAATTATCTCCACCCATACATAATTCTACATGCCTCCATTTCACATCATCACATTTTTTTCTAAAGTAAATAGGCTCAAATATTTTAACATTTCCATATAGGGGAGCTGCTTAGCTTCTTGATAATACTAGTTTCTCCTTTCTGCATTCTCCAGTTTTATAGTGTCCCTTTTGAGATTTTTGCAATCAATACAGTCAGTCACAATATTGTAAAATGATTACAATGATTACTTTAATAAGACATAATAGTATTGTCAGCTTTACTTATCTCTCTTTTCTAATGGTCCTTTACATGGAATTTACCTTTTTCACAGTTGCTTCAGACTAAGTCGATTTTATTGACTTATCCATCACAGGATCTCTTTCTTGATCAGATCCCACTGATGTACAAAGGGAATTAGCTTTTTTTTTAACATAGTGTGTAACATTTAATATTTGCCAATTTAATATATATTCATCCAATTGAGAGAAATTATGTTAGACTAAGCTTCCAGTTTCTTCAATTAGTACCAAAATCTTTCTATTCAAATGGTTTAAGGGTGATGTAAAGATTTTTGTCTTAATTTCTTTTCTTGTCTAGTTTTTATGATAAGAAAGAAGCTGTCCATGAAGCATTGTGTGATAACATTGATACGCGTACAGTCTTGGAAGAGCTGCGATCATTGGTCAGTCAGTGTAATTCCTACATTGCCGCAAAGAAGACTGCCCGACAGAAGCCAAATAGAACGTTGCTAGAAAATATAAGCATTTATCTTACCCACATATTCACGGTATGGGAATTTGAACAAAGCTTTCAAATTTGGCCATGTATTGTTTATTAAGGATGTATGTTAGTGGTTTGTTTTTTTTATGATTTGGATTAGAACTTTTAATTCGATTTGATTTGATCTGATTTGATTTGTTGTAATTTAGAATACAATTGGAAATTACTTACATGAAATGAAATATGAGTTTTGGGGTTTGAATGACTAAAAAAGTCTGCTTTCTAAAAATTATTAAATGCCTTAAGGTTAATTAGTACTGCTTGCTTGTTTGCTTACTTACTTACCTACCAAATATTTTATGATGCAGTAACCAAAAACTGACTCAGTCTATACTTTATTAAATCAGTAATAAGGTTAAATACATAAATAATTAAAGTATTAACCTTGACAATCATCAGGCAATACTATTTCAGGAGTAATTAAAATTTGCATTATGCCTGAAAGTGCTACAGAACACAGCCTTCTTCCCCCAGCAGGAACTTCTTGGAGAAGTTCCTGCTTAGAGAAAGGATATCCAGTCCTCTGCAGGAGCTTTTCTTGGGAAAAGTCTATAGAGGAGAGAAGAAATAGATAAAGATAATGCCATCTCACTATACCAAATAGTTGATATTTATATTACATATTTATACATATTTATATTATTGTTCCACTGTATGTGTAGAATATGAAATCAGGCATGCTAACTCAAATTGTATTCACATTATTTTTGATTGAAATGTTTAACATTTAAATGCTACCTGCTAGTAAGTGTGAATCTATATGTTCAGATTTGTATACATTTCCTTTGCATAGGTCTTTGGTGCAATAGAAAATGAGGAGGGAATTGGTTTCCCAGTTGGAAGAAATGGTCATGCATTAAATGTAAGTGGAAAGCATATTTTGCTGATCTTGTAGCTATTCATGATTTTTAAAGATTGGATTAGACATTGAAGCAAGCTTTTAAGAAACATAGCAGTGGTGGTGGTAATAATAATTGGAGTAATACTGTATTTTTATCCTCCCTTTTATTTGATTTTGTTTTGTTACACATGCACATACATAGGACAGGGAGTTCTTCCTGCCATTTAACAGGAAATAGCAACCAATGGACACAGAATTTTTAAAAGAAAGGAATATTAAAGACATAATTGATAGAAGAGCATGTACACATACATCGACACACATATATTATTCTTTGAAATAGCGTGCTTGTATTATATAACGTTAGGTAAATTTATATTTTTTCTCCTCCCATTGTTTAATCAGATATTTTAAATGTGAGCGCATTCATAGTGATAAAAGAAAACAAATCAGATATAATGGTAGAGATGTGAAGATCACCAAATTTTGTTCTAGGTTAAGGTTGTCAGAAAATGTTTTTTAACTTGTTTAGGAAGATGATGTATTCTATTTAAAAGACCAAGCACTTTGTTAAAGCCGCAGTGCTTTTTACTAGTTACACTTCATTCAACATTTTAGATAACAACTAAGCAACCCGTGGCCCATTGGCTCATTGTTTCAGGGAAGTTTCCTTTCCAGATTCCTCAATGCTTTCAACAATGGCAGAGTTTCTAACATACTGCCTTAACTGGAAAAGTTGGGATACTTTCAGAGATTTCTGCCTTGAGAATAATCCATGTTGAACTATATAGCACAGTCAAACATTAGGAGTTGATGACAGGAAATATTTTATAACACTTTGTATTATGCCATAAAATGTTTTATAAAATTTGCTAAATTTTAATTCCATGGAAATTATGGATTCTGGATGCATTCTGTAAGCTCATTTGTGGTGCCTTGGTTCACAAATTGTTGCCCTACAGTGCACCATTTTGCCCAGTTAATTTGATTACAGTATATGAATTAACCTTTAAAAAAAGGCAGATGTGTGCAGAAAATGGCACTAAATCTAGCAACAGAAAGGAATCAAATTGTACAAATTGAAATTCCTGAGTATGTGCTACAATAAGACCAATGTAAACCTATTGTAGCCTGGATATAATTATCACTGAAGAAATTAGTGAATACCAAAATGGTATTTGTCAATTCATGGCAGTACGACTATCTTTTGTTTATCAATGTAACATCCGACTGATACTGGTATTGTGAATAGTGGGATCATGAGAAAGCTGCTTTTGTTCATGTAACAGCCTTGTTCAAATAAACAATTTTATTCCAAGTACTTACAGACACAAGAGACCTGCATTAGTCAATCTCAGGATATCAGATGTTATCAAAAGATAAGACCCATTGCTTGAAATGGGAGGAGGGGCACGGTGGAGTTCTTCTTTTGGACCGTGCTCTGTCACATATATTTTGTCTTTTCCAAAACAAAGACTAATATTTAAAAGGGATCCAGTCTTCTGACATGCCTGAGTGCCTTGCATTGTGTTGTCTATCTATGGAACAGGTAGTCCTTGACCTACGGTACTATTGTTCATTTAGTGACCATTTGAACTTACAACGGCACTGAAAAAAGTTACTTGTGACCATTTTCCAAAATTATGACCATTGCAGCATTCCTGTGGTCATGTGATCAAAATTCAGATGCTTGGCAACTGGTTCATATTTATGATGGTTGCAATATCTTGTGGTCATGTGATCACTTTTTGCTCCCTTCTAACAAAGTCAATGGGGGAACTAGTCTTGTTACTAACTTAATAACTGCAGTGATTCACTTAACAACTGTGGCAAAAGAAGTCGTAAAATAAGGCAAAACTCACTGTCCTGCTTAGAAACAGAAATTTTGGTCTCAGTTGTGGTCATTAAGTCGAGGACTACTTGTATAAAACTCAGGTATAAGAGCTCCTTTGCTTCATTTATTCACCTCATTCAGATAATGGTTTTACAAATCGACCTAGTTTGGAAGAAAATGGGTAAAAGTAGCTTAGGAAAGAAATAATATTTAAAGTGTCTTTTTTTTTTTATGCTGCAGCTTGAATCTACAGTAATGCCGTATCTTCATGTTTTATCTGAGTTCAGAGAAGGGGTAAGGCAAATTGCCAGGGAAAAAAAAGGTGAGATTTTTCTGGTTATAAATAGACATCTATACAAATTGTATGCCACTCTTACAAAAGGGAATCCTTTCTTTGTTTCCACATACAACTAACAATTCAGTCCCTTGTGCAAAATGTGCAAATAGACAAGAGCCCTTTCAGTCACAAGGTGAACATGTTTTCGAAGTGACACTCTGCATTTATATTCAGGCTTATTTCAGTTTGCTATTTAGAAATAACTCTACATTTTTATTGCACGGTGGTGCGTTTACTGATGACTGCATGAAATTTTATTATTTTAAAGCATACTTGTGAAGAAAAAAAAAGGTTTACCATGTTTCCCCACTCCCTGCTGTACTTCTTTGGGTTGCCCAGATTCTATAGCCTGCTGCACAAAGCATATTTTTATGATTGAGACACAATATCAAGGCAAAGAATCTTAACTAATATGACTTTTCCTTCTCCTGCTTCTAGGCATTGTAGAGCTTAATAATTTACATGTGGAAATCTCATTTTGAGATCATTAGTGTTGTAGCAAAGATTCATGCACCACTGATCTTTTGTTTTTAATCCAGAAGAGTTTAACTAAGATATTATATGTAAATAAAACATTTTTATTTATTGAACAAAAACAGCAGAAACTGGGAACTTTGGGAGTATAGTGACTGTTCTTAGCAAAGACTTTATTTGGTTTTTGAATGTTTAGTTGATAACTGAGATGAAAGAAAATGCCTCAAATAAATTATAATATCAGGACATTGAGAAGCATTTAAAGCAAAAAACAACTCTTGTTGCAAAATATCAGTGTGATATGGTTTGGAGATAAGGAACTTCAATTCACCTATTGGCTCCTGAACCCTTTGCTTCTGTGGACAAAAGCAGTTCCAATTATGTATTTTTAAAAGAGCTTATAATGTTTTCTTGTGGTTTATTTGGTGCAATTTTAAACATATTTAGTCATTAAGAATTGAGAGAATTTAAGTGGAAGGAAATCTACTTAAGATTGCAGTTTTAGTCAATTTCACTGGAATAATTAAAGTTTATTTATGCAGGGGGTTAAGTTGTATAATTGTAGGGATGTTCCCAAATTCAGTCAATTCTGGCTCTTGAAATGCAGGATTAAGTATGATTCTTTGCTGAGATATGAAAAAATTGCTGCCAATGAGAAAATGCTGCACAGAACTAAAAAAACCCAAACAACTAATATATATAATGAGGCATCTCCTGTAAAGTTTCAATCATTCCATTTCTCAGATTGCGTAGTATACATTGTTTCCTCGAATACTCGTTCCTTTAAAACAAACACAGAAAAATTTAGCAAGATCATATCATGAAGAAAACCCACTGAATCATTAAAAAAAGGTCTTTACTTTGATGTATATCCAGCTGACCAGAGAAAATATTTTACTTAAATTTCAACATTTTCATTGTTCTTGTAGTGTTTGAAGTTCTGCAGCTTTGCGATTCACTTCGAGATGATATCCTTCCAGAGCATGGAGTTCGGTTTGAAGATCATGAAGGTAAAGAATTGCCTGTCCTTTGTCTTGACTTCTCTTTTCAGTTGCTAATACGAAACACTACAGTAGCAATCAAACTTGATTCCTGACAGTTTATATGGATGATAGACTGGATAGGCTGTAGTAATGACATACATAAAAGCATTTAAAATATCTTTTTTTATTTTCTCCTAGGACTTCCAACTGTGGTCAAGCTGGTAGACAGAGACACTTTGCTAAAAGAAAGAGAAGAAAAGGAAAAGGTTCTACATTTTATTCTTTGAATTATTTTTATATACATGTAATTTAATTTAGAATAATCCATCATTTATGCATGAGCTTGCAACAGAAATGTAGTCAGGTATCTCTACTTGTTTATTATTATTTATTATTCATTATTTATTAAATTTATATGCCGCCCCTCTCCGGAGACTCAGGGCGGCTCACAATACATTAAAAAAAAAAAAACATTCTAAAAACATTTAAAAGGTTAAAAAACATTAAAAACCTTAGAACGCATTCACACCATTTATGGCCGGATCTCGCCAGATCGCAAAGCGAGATCAACGGCCCCAGGCCTGCCGGAAAAGCCAGGTCTTCACAGCTTTTCGGAAGGCCAGTAGGGTGGGGATGGTCCGGACCTCAGGAGGTAACTGGTTCCAGAGAGCTGGGGCAGCCACAGAGAAGGCCCTCTCCCGCGGGCCCGCCAGCCGGCATTGTTTAGCTGACGGGACCCGGAGGAGACCAACTCTGTGGGATCTTACCGGTCGCTGGGAGCTATGCGGTAGAAGGCGGTCTCGAAGATAACCTGGCCCTGAGCCATGTAGGGCTTTAAAGGTAATAACCAACACCTTGAATTGTGCCCGGAGACCAATAGGGAGCCAGTGCAGCTCGCAGAGAATTGGTGTAATATGGGTGTATCTAGGTGCACCCACAACAGCTTGCGTGGCTGCGTTCTGGACCAGCTGCAGTCTCTGAACACTTTTCAAGGGTAGTCCCATGTAGAGCGCATTGCAATAATCTAACTGTGAGGTGACAAGGGCATGAGTGACTATGAGGAGCGCCTCCTGATCCAAATAGGGTCACAATTGGTGCACCAGGCGAACCTGTGCAAAGGTCCCCCTAGCCACAGCTGTCAGATGTTGTTCTAATCTTAGCTGTGAGTCTAGGAGGACACCCAAATTGCGAGCCCGTTCTGAGGGGGACAATTTCTCTCCCCCCCCAGAACCAAGGATGGACAAGCAACATAGTCTTTAGGAGGCAATACCCACACCCACTCGGTCTGGGTTAAGTCTGAGCCTGTTGACTCCCATCCAGACCCTCACAGCCTCCAGACACCGGCACATCACATCCACTGCATCACTGAATTGACACGGGGTAGAGATATACAGCTGGGTATCATCAGCATATTGCTGATATCTCACCCTGTATCGTCAAATGATCTCACCCAGCGGCTTCATGTAGATGTTAAATAGGGGAGAGAGGACCGAGCCCTGAGGCACCCCGCAGATGAGGGGCCTAGGGGTCGACCTCTGTCCTCCCACCAACACCGACTGTGACCGACCAGAGAGATAGGAGGAGAACCATCGTAACACGGTGCCTCCCACTCCCAACTCCCTTAGTTGTCCCAGAAGGATACCATGGTCAATGGTATCGAAAGCTGCTGAGAGGTCAAGTAGCACCAAGATGGAGGAATGACCCCCATCTCGGGCTCGCCAGAGATCATTCATCAGTGTTACCAAAGCAGTTTCTGTGCTGTAGCCAGGCCTGAAGCCTGACTCAAAAGGGTCCAGATAATCTGTTTCATCCAATGACCGCAGGAGTGCCACCACTTTCTCTACAACCTTTCCCACAAAGGGTAGGTTGGAGACTAGACGAAAGTTCTTTAATTCTGCTGGATCCAGGGAAGGCTTCTTGAGGAGGGGCCTTACAACCGCTTCCTTTAAGGGCTGCGAGAAGGACCCCTCCCTCAAGGACGCATTAACTAAAGCCTGGATCCAGCCTCGTGTCATCTCCCTGCTGGCCGAAACCAGCCAGGAGGGGCACGGGTCCAATAAACAGGTGGAGGAACTCATCGCCCCTACAGCCTTGTCCACTTCCTCAGGAGTCACTGGCTCAAACTCCTCCCACACAATAGGACTAAACCCGCCCCTGTCATCTCGGTCAGTATTGCCCAATCAGAGTCCAGGTCCATCCGAATCTGGGCGATTTTATCTGACAGAAACTGTACAAATTCCTCAGCTCTACCCTGCAAGGGCTCCTCCGTTCCCCCAATATTAAGGAGGGAGCGAGTTACCCTAAACAGGGCGGCTGGGCGAGAATCAGCAGATGCAATAAGAACGGAAAATATGAACATTTTGCCGCCCATATCGCCACTAAGTCAGTCCTAACAAAGGCTTTTAAAAGTGCTCGGTCGGATTCAGATTTACTGGTTCTCCAGCGTCGCTCTAGACGTCTCTTCTGGCGCTTCATCTCCCAGAGCTCCTCAATAAACCAGGGAGCTTTCCTGGATCCGCTGTTATTGAGAGGCCGAAAAGGCACAATCCGATCCAATGCCCCAGATGCTGCCTTATGCCAGGCAGCCACTAGGGTTTCGGCCGGACTATGGTCAAGGGAGTCAGGTATCTCCCCAAACTCCTTCTGAAACCCTTCAGGGTCCATTAGGCGTCTGGGGCAGAACCACTTAATTGGCTCCGCCTCCCTGCGATGGAGGAGTGGCATCTTAAAGTCCAGTCTCAACAGGAAATGATCTGACCACAACAAGGATGATATCTCTATACTTCTTAATAAGTTTATCTATGAGTACAAATTTTACTAGGGATTTGTGGGCTAATCCATACATTCTATTTGCTAGAGCAAGAAAATGCCCCCTTAATCTACTTATGACATTATGAGGGCTATGCCCTCATAATTTTATCCCCATTTCATTCCTTATGTGCTGCTACTATAATTGAATTCATCTATCTTATAGCCGATTGTCCTCTTCTTTTTCCTTCCACCATTCCCAGCATTTATAGACTTCTCCAGAAAGCTACGTCCATGTGATATTCTCACCAATTCCAACCCATTTTAATCTTTTGATCTCTAAAATGACAATGTGCAGTCAACTAATTTAATCTTTTACTGTGTTTTCTCATGTTCATGCTTCTTCCAGTTCATGTTCCCCTGCAATTCAATCTTTGCCACTTCAAATTTGCTTTTCCTTTATGATGAGACATTGGTACTCCAAAAGATCCTCAACATTTCCTCTGCCACAAGTATATTATCAGTCACTTTTTCTTGGAAAAACATGGGACCGCTGCCTTCTCCCATGTGAGATTATGTTTTTGCTGTTGTCATTAGAGTGATCATTCACCTCCAGTATCTTCCTATATCATCATTGCTACCCCAGTATAGCTGTTTATTTAGATTGAGCAGGTAGATCATGAATATACCCTCTGATGTAATGATGCAGAATAATCAGACTTGAAGGATGGGGAATATATGCATACAGTACAGTGATTTTAATACTATTTTTAAAATAGTAATAATTCTTTATTATGATTTCGCCTAGATTGAAGAAGAAAAAAAGAAGAAAAAACAAGAAGCAGCTAAGAAGAAACAAGAACAAGAGGTAAATAACCTATATCGTGAACTGAATGGTGGGCAGTGGTATCAGTCACTACAGACTTTGAAGATAATTTTCTTTCCAGTGTTCAAGTCATTCTACAGTGTAAAGACTTTTGTGCTTTCATATAGCATGCTTGTGATATTAACATGAACATCTATTTCTATCTGAAGTGTTGATCAAAGTTTATTTTTAGCCAAAGGTTGGGTATGTTTATTACAATGTGAGCAACAAAAAATGTGGCAATGGTACAGGTACTCCTATTTCCCCCCACAATTAGGACCAGAACTTCCATTGCTAAGTGATGCAGATGTTAAGTGAGGCACACCTAATTTTATAACTTTTTTTTTCCTCAGTCATTAAGCAAATCACCACAGTTGTTAAACAAATCATAGTTGTTAAGTAAATCTAGTTTCCCTGTTGATTTTGCTTGTCGGAAGCCCATAGGAAGGGTGCAAATGGCGATCATGTGACCCCAGGACACTGCAAGTGTCATTAAATACATGTGCCAAGCACCCAAATTTTGAACATGTCACCACAGGGACACTGTGGCGGTCATAAAGGCGAGGACTAATCATAAGTTAGTTTTTTCAATACCATTGTAACCTTGAACGGTCTTTAGAATTGTTATAATTCAAGGACTGTTATGTTATTAATTTATTCCTGAATTATAATATCTTAATTATAATATCTGTAAAATATCTTTATTTTACAGGCAGCAAAACTTGCGAAAATGAAAGTTCCACCTGGAGAGATGTTTAAATCTGAGCATGACAAGTATTCCAAATTTGATGAAAATGTAAGAATACTGTAACTTTTTTTAAAAAAACCACAAACACTTGATTCAGGATTCAGGAATGAGGGAAACACCTGGTAAAATGCTGTAATAAGAGTGATATAATAAACCTTGTGATTATTTCAAATGTTTAAAGTGCTTAACAAATGTAATTAATTATAAACCTTATAATGCAGCAATTTTGTAAGATAAAATTTTGTAAGCACCAATGTTATTCACCCTATGTCAAGAGTGGCAAAAGTGGCTTGTTCAAGGCCATCCCCATGATCATTTCATTCATATAACTATTTGAAACTGAACCTCTTCACTCATTTACATTGAATTAATATTTTCTAGGGGCTCCCAACCCATGATATGGAAGGCAAAGAACTCAGCAAAGGACAGATGAAGAAATTAAAGAAAATGTATGAAGCACAAGAAAAACTGTACAAGGAATTTCTTCAAATGAATCAAAATGGAGTTGCAAACTGAAAATAAAATTTGGACAGTATTTTTCCTAAACAAATGCAAAAGTTGGGTAACATCAGTGGAAGTAACAAGTTGTTTCTGCACGTACCATACTGTGTTGACATATATAATCTAGTTGCAGATATCAATAAAACTTTTGTTACAATAATATTATCCATGTAACGTTTATGCAACACAATCAAGAATAACTAAGAACCAACAAAAATCTAATTTAGTTTTAATCGGAAAATTCACTTATTTCTAAACTAATTTGTGAATTAGAACACAC